AAACTTATATTAAAGTTTTTCTTCATTACCCATTCAAGCCGTCTCCAAGCATTATTAGTCTCAAAGTGGGTTCCTCGTCATCGAATTTAAATCTTCATTGTTGATTTAAAATATTTCGTTCTGGAACTAGCTACATCTATAAAGTACATGAAAATCTTATTATTAGCATGATTTTCTTTGTCCCCCGGTGTTACAGCAGTAAGTTTATGGACATATGATTCCCTATGGTGGCCACAGCAGCTTGCCCAATGTGACTTTGCTCTGAAACAAACAAACAAAAGCATGATTTTCACTAAAAATGTATGAGTTATTTCATCTAGACCGATTTTTCATGTTAGTAGGTTTTATTTAGAATGTTTAAAAAAAACCAGGAAATTCTGAATCATATTTTCTAGAAACCTTAAAATAACCTAAGGAAGGTTAAGGGTTAGCATTATTCAGGTTCAAAAGACATTTGATAACTGCCTAAGACTGAAATTATAATTCCAATTATAATTCTGTTACATTTTATTTTACTTCAGCAAAATAGTTAATATTCTGAATCAGTTTACTAAATATGCAGTTACTGTCAATGGCTTTAATGTTGGTTATTAAGTCAGCTTAGTCCAACTGGTCGTTAAATGTAGAGTTACTGTCAATGGTTTTAATGTTGGTTATTAAGTCAGCTTAGTCCAACTGCTCGTTAAATGTACAGTTACTGTCAGTGGCTTTTATGTTGGTTACTAGTCAACTTAGTCCAACTGCTCGTTAAATGTGCAGTTACAGTCAATGGCTTTAATGTTGGTTATTAAGTCAGCTTAGTCCAACTGCTCATTAAATGTACAGTTACTGTCATTTAAGTTGACTTAATAACCAACATAAAAGCCACTGACAGTAACTGTACATTTAACGAGCAGTTGGACTAAGTTGACTTAATAACCAACATAAAAGCCACTGACAGTAACTGTACATTTAACGAGCAATTGGACTAAGTTGACCTAATGACCTACATAAAAGCTACTGACAGTAACTGTACTTTTAACGAGCAGTTGGACTAAGTTGACTTAATAACCAACATAAAAGCCACTGACAGTAACTCCACATTTAACGAACAGTTGGACTAAGTTGACTTAATAAGCAACATAAAAGCCATTGACAGTAACTCCACATTTAACGAACAGTTGGACTAAGTTGCCTTAATAACCAACATAAAAGCCACTGACAGTAACTCCACATTTAACGACCAGTTGGACTTGTCAACTTAGTCCGATTGCTCTTTAAATGTACAGTTACTGTCAGTGGCTTTTATGTTGGTTATTAGTCAACTTAGTCCGATTGCTCATTAAATGTACGTCATCCATCAAATGTACAATTGCTCGATAAACGTGCAGTTACTGACAGTGGCTTTTATATTGGTTATTAGTCAACTTAGTGCAATTGCTCGTTTGAGGTCATGGGTCAATATCTTTTTACTAAACCACTTCTCAGGTGAAAAAACTTGATGTACCAGTCATTACTTAGCGTTTAGGAATATATATTTGTTAATATGTTTAGATATTTTTTTCTACAATTTTGAGTTACTTACCAGAGGAAACTCACAATGAGTACAAGGACTAGTTTATCCAATGTAAACATAGTTGATTAAAAATTTAGTTTTTCTCTGCATTAAACAGTAAAAGTTTTTTTATCACCAAATTTGTGCAGTTTGTATATTGTTAAGTTACTGATTAGGCTTGGAACTTGCTGAAACCTGTAACTCTGAGACATACTTTAAACCTATCCTTACAATTTTCCTCCCCTAAGCAGCACAATAATGATGATACCAAATTCTAATCTTTCTCACACATTATTCTGTTAACATGTTTAAAAAAATAAAAAAACTAATTACTACATTTTTCTTGAATACCTGGATATGTGTTGTAAGTTACAAATATTCTGTGTGAAAGAACAGAATATTTTTAAAGCAAGAACTCGGGTTATCTTAGTTTTTCTCTAACAAAGTCAAGGAAAAATAAATGAACAAGTTACTTAAAGAGTGACATTTTTTACATTATGTATAGAACATATAAGTAAGTGACAAGATTTTGTTCTCATATGGAGGTTTTTTAGGTTCTCTGTAGGACGTGTATTAAATGACAAGAATTTGTTGACAATCTCAACTCTAATGGCTAGGTGTTATGAAAAAATATAACTACTTTTATTTTTGACTGATCTGAATAAAAATATTGAAACTATTTTATGCGATCATACAAGATTCTATGAAAGGGAAAAGTCATTAGCAAGTTGAAGCAAACCAGTTTTGTAAACCAAATTACAGCAAAATGTGTTCTAAGTTAAAAAAAAACTAATGTTTTTGTCTTTGAGATAGTTAAAGAATATTTTTCAGTGTTTTTATAAAAACTGTTATAGGAATGAATATGCCAATTCGAATTACACCACAGACTTCATCTACAGACTTTACTGTGAAGAAGGCAAGGATGTATTCTCATCAAGAATGAATGTCTTGGGTCACATGCAACAGGTAATGTGTTAAGTTCCATGTTGTCTGTATTACCAAGTTCTCACTAAGAATGAATGTACTCAGTTCCGTGCTGTCTGTATTACCAAGTTCTCACTAAGAATGAATGTACTCAGTTCCGTGCTGTCTGTATTACCTAAGTTCTCACTAAGAATGAATGTACTCAGTTCCGTGCTGTCTGTATTACCAAGTTCTCACTAAG